AAAGATAACGCATGTTCCAATATTGCAATGGCACATCCACATAACATCTGGATATAAATTTACCAGAAGTGAGTAACAGTTTTTCCACATCCAACACGTAATTTCATGAGAAGTTCCTCAAAATGAAACATTTGAATGTGTATTTAGTGGTATCTGATTTCTTTTAAACTCTCTCACACACACACACACACACACACACACACACACACACACACACACACACACACACACACACACACACACACACACACACACACACACACACACACACACACACACACATATTTGACACTGGACACTGGACACTTGATACTGAATGAACAACACTGCAGTGTCAGTTGCAAATGGGCTTGAAAAATGCAGATATCCACACACACACTGCAAAGGCACTTCAAAAGGAGTAGATACACATTAACACACAAATTTGTGAAAGTAAGTGATATTGTAATATAAGGTCTTTCATAGTATAATAACTGTAAAATGGTATACTCAAAGAAATAAATTTTTGTTTTTTTGTTTTTCCGAGTGAAAGAGGACTTGTTTCTAGAGTGCAGAAAGTGTGACTTATAACTAAATGTACAGCATTATAGTTCCTACAAAGCCAAGTAGTGTAAAGTCATGATAATTATTAGGAGAATTAAATACTGTCACTCATATCTGCTCAATTATTAGTTGCATGTATCTCAGTAATTAAAATAAAAATAAAAAGCGCATGATTGTTACAATAAGTCAAAATTATGTAATCTTGTAGATTTGCTTCTCATTTATTACAAATAGATACATTCTTCAAGGTTATATATACTCTCATAAGTATCTGGAATTAATGAAAGCTTCAGAATATGTTAATGATATTGTTAGCAAGTCACATGGCAACATCTGTCTAATATATTATAAATGTCAACGAAGTGACTTGAGAATGTTAAAGGAAGGTACATACACTTTATTAGACTTTACAACATATATATGTTCTTTCTTTAAAGATTGCCATATACCTTGTATATGAAGGTCTAGCTTCTTGTGGACTACAGTAGATTTTCAGCACATTCTATGTTGCACACCCCAAAATGATACGAGTAGTAATTTATATAGCATCTACGAGTATGATATATAATTAGTGATTTGATCATGATTTTGGAAATAATGATTTCATTCACACAGCAGCCAAATCTTCAATTATAACTTGTCCTAAACTCATGTTATCATTACTCTTCTTTCCTGTATACCTGCCGTATCTGCCTTTGTACTGCATATGAGTGATCTTTTGTCTTTTAAGTAACTTTGAAATAACAAAGGTAATGGTATTAATAACTGTCTTTCATCACCATCCTTCAGCTTAGTGCAGCAAGTAATTGTTTATGTAACAGCATGACATATTAATATTAATAAAGATAACACAAATTGAAGTTGAAGAGGATACTATATTTTACTAAAGAAGAGAATTATGAGAAAAAGAAAGAAACCTTAATATTCCCTGCCACAACTGCATTACATTTTGAGAATTTTAGTCTTTTTTTTTCTTTTTCTTTTTTCTTTTTTTTTTTTTACTTGCCATACAAACAATGTTTTGGTGTTAATGGTTAATGGTTAAAACAAATAATGGGTTTGACATGAAAGATCATATATCACTATGATAAAGTATTGTGGCAAAAAGGGTAAAAACGAGTTAACGATTAAGATAAAATGTAGATATCAAAGGTTGTAGAGAGCTACTCGATAGTATGGTAGTAAAAAGGATAAAGATGGGAGAGCAAATGGAGTCCAGCAGGGATCTGTAAAAGGGGAAAGGGTTAAGGGCATTGGGTGATTGGAGGAGAAGGACACTGTTGCGACATAAGGGTGTCAAGTGAGCATCCAGGAGGGAGTAGTAAGGATAATGGGGAAAGAAGAGAAAATGGTTGAGGAGAGGACAGGGTGTGTTGGAAAATAGTAGGAGGAAGAGGGTTATAGGGGACTTGAGGAGGAGGATGATAATGGATATCGGAAATACCTTGAATGTAGAGGGAATAGGAAGAGAGACTGGAGTGTGAATGGAGAGGAGCATTTTCTTGGGTCATGTTCAGGAAGCTTTGGATGTCTTCAAGAGTTTCTGGAGGGGAGTTGGGTCGGGAGATCTGAGAAACAAAGGTTTTCTGGTGAGGAGAAGAGGGGGTAGATATCAGAGGAACAGAGGAAGAGGTGGATGTAGGAGAGGATGTGGTAGGATATGGGGTAGAGCATTTTGATTGCCTGGAGACATCTTGAGAAGATGGGAGGGGAGGGGAGCAAAGAACAGTTTTGGAAATGAAGAGAGAGAAAAACCTCATCAGTTTGCTTCCTTTCTGGCCTCATGTAGAGTGAGGCCTAATTTGAGTCTGAGAACTGTTACCTCAGATTCAAGCTTGTAAGCAGGACAGCTCCATTAAAATACATTATCATGGAAACCACCACAATTGGCATGTGTGTGATTGAGCAGAGCAATTTGAAAGGTCATGACCAAGTTGGTCATATATAGAGCAGCGGGCTGTGGAGCAATAGTGTTTGGCTGGATGGCCAGAACCCCAACATTTCTGAGACTGACAGGGATTGAGCCAATTTGGATAGACAGGGCAAGACACTCCAGCAATAAACTTTATGGGGAAGGTCATATATATATATATATATATATATGAAGTACATTGTATATGAGTGTGTGCGCAGAAGCTATTCTTGACAATATTGGTGTAAGGGGGGACCACAAAGAACGATCTCATTTGGCAAGGCCAAAGAGTACTCAAAAGGTTTGCAGAGTTGGAAGCAGTAGAAGGAATAGGGTAGGAGGAAGATGGGAGAGGTGTGGAGTGAGGTAGCACTACATAGGGATCATAATGTCCCAGGCTAATAATTCTTGTCATCCCGAAGGCCACATGCCATCATCCAACACCTTTGTGTATAATGGCAGAATCTGTGAATCTCTTGTAACAGTACATGTTCATTTATAATCAGCAATACTGTTATTACTAACAGAGGTATCTTATTTGCTTCATTTTGGAAGTGTTTTGTTAAAAAAAAATGTATCATGACAAAATTGAAAGATATCTACCTGAAACATTCAGCTTTTGGTAAATGGACATTACTACTGTATATGAACCTTCAAGAGGAAAGTGTGTGGACAGTAGGAAATAGAGAATGGAAGAATAGAGGCAGTTTAAAAAGAATGTAAAGGACCTAATCACGGTATGAAATAGAAAAAAAGTGAACAAGTTAATTTAATCCTTTTATTGCAGAATGGTATATGGTAGTGAAATGCATAGCAGACAACTTTTGAACCATATCTAGTTATCACATTTTTATTTACATCCTATGTTTCTTAAATACACAAGATACACATTTGCAATTCAATTTTACACAAACAGAAAATAAGTTTGCTCCTTTCAGATAAAAATACAATAACAAAATGAGAGTACTAATGGATATCATGTTTCCAACGAGAAAACAGGTGAGTGTATGAACAAACAGCCATTGTAGGACATATTCTTATGTCTGAGTACACATAACACCATTTATTAGTGTGAAAAAGTGCCTGAATATTTGTACTTATGTATGTTTCACATATTTGGCAAACTATACTACTTGGATTTTATTACACATAAGCAAACATTCATGTGTATAATTTACAACCAATCAGTGCGCAAGAACATGGAAAAGGAGAGGGAAGAGGGAAACATACAGAGATGAGAAGGCAGGGTAGGAGAGGAGGAGAAAATAAAAGGAAATGGAAAGAGAAAGAGAAAGAGAGTGAGTGAGTGAGTGAGTGAGTGAGTGAGTGAGTGAGTGAGTGAGTGAGTGAGTGAGTGAGTGAGTGAGTGAGTGAGTGAGTGAGTGAGTGAGAGTGAGTGAGTGAGTGAGTGAGTGAGTGAGTGATGATGAAATGAATGAATGAATGAATGAATGAATGAATGAAGTGTGTGTGTGTGTGTGTGTGTGTGTGTGTGTGTGTGTGTGTGTGTGTGTGTGTGTGTGTGTGTGTGTGTGTGTGTGTGTGTGTGTGTGTGTGTGTGTGTGTGTGTGTGTGTGTGTGTGTGTGTGTGTGTGTGTGTGCGTGCGTGCGTGTGTGAGTACATGAACAAATACTAAATGCATCAAAAAAAATTCTGTTATACACAACCAGATATGATAAGGATAATTCCCAGTCATTCATCATAATTCATTTCAAATAATAATAAACAGTGGCATCCTACTTTGTAAGTCACACAATTATCAATCAAATATATGCGTAAGAGCTAATACGATTTTTGGACAGAGATCAGCAATATGACAACTCTCATAGGTGAAACATTAACCTGGCAACATCCACATAGGTGACATGTCCAAGGAACAAAAACGTGACTTCAAGCAAGTTCGTCCTTCAGATTCAGATTTAGAATTATCTGTTCTTTCAATTGCTGTGACCTGTGACATGAAAATTATTTTTTTCCTGTGTCGAGCGCCCACCATACTTTTCAAGGTACCGTGAGGAAAGGATTAACAAATTCATGAGAAGCCATTACAGAAAAGGCCATAGGACCAACACCAGCTAAGATAACTAACATGGAATATTGGGAATAAGCTAGTATCACATAATTTACCTTGTGCTTTCTATTTACAATTTATATCATATTAAAAAAAAAAAAAGGCATGGCAGCATCTGTCTGTCTCCATCAACAAGAAAAAGGATATTGAAAAATGGCCGTATCAACTGGAAGATGGAAAGTAGCCTTTTTCTTACTATATTTAGTATATAATGAATTCAACTGAGCACATGCCTCCCAAAAATAGTCATAGATTATAATAATAATGATAAAAAAATAATGAAAATAACAATACCAACGATAATGTGACCACTATCATTATTATCATCGTCACTTTCAGTATCACTATTATTATTATCAAGTATCATGAGCTCACGACACTTACCATTGTCCTTCCCCAACCCATCACAATGCCCTCCTGAAATATTTTTCCTAGATCAACCAAGAAGTCTATGCTGGATAATCAAACTGATTTTAAAATATCCCCTTTTATTCATTTCATATCACAAAATTATTACAAATATTACTGCAACAGACAGCAAAAAATGCATACATTTTGTTATGTACTTTAGTTAACTTGTGAAAAAAAGGAAAAAAGTAATATAGAAAAAAACATGGATCAATATTACTGATGGCAGTATTCACAGTATAAACAATTACAATACCAGAATAACATTTACAATGACAAACTAATAACACTATTTGCATCATTAATATGAATAGAATGGAGAGCTTTGAAGAGAATAATCAATCATATTAATCAGTCTATAATGATGATAGTTTGACATGATGATGATGTTCGACATAATGATGATGAAAACAAACATACTGATACAATATACATACATTTGCACTCATGTAGGCACACACACAGGCACTGTCAGACATGCAGGCATGTCCCCTACCCTACATACACACACACATACATGTATGCACACGCCCACAAGAACACACACATACACATATGCATGCACTCACAAGAACACACACAGACACGAACGCACATACATGTACAATGAGATAAATTCAGTCTATCTTAGTTTCTGCATCTTAATTGTTGTTACCATTTTATAATAATGGAGGTTCTCCTTTCTTCTCGTGTTCAGTCCTGCAGCATGCTCCTCACTTCGTTGATCTGTAAAAATCGAGCTTTTATAGAATAGGAGTTTTAAAATACATAAATGAGCCTAAAGGAGAGTGAGGCCGTGGGGGCAGGTTGTAGTTGGGAGCAGTTATCCAGCAGCTACTAAAGAAGTGTTCATGAGCTATT